CCCCCGCCCCGCCCCAGCGGCTGCGACCGCCGGAGGGGACGCGTTGTCACCGCCCCCTACCCCCCTCAGCCAATAACGGAGCCAAAGCCGGCGTTTGGCTCTCTCCATTGGTCGATTTGAAGAAGGCGGTGGCAAATGAGGACGGCGCGGCGGTTGTTGGGAGTGCCGGTGGTCGTGCTGCGGAAGCGTCTGAGATGGAGGGGGCAGGTGAGGGGTTGGGAGCCTCGGAGCTTGGTCTGAGGGGTTCCCGGTTGGGGAACCTGGGGGTGTGGGCGGCCCAGGGGCCTGTGGAGGGGGTGTGGTGTGGGTGAGGGTGTGTGAACCTGCGGGAGGTGCCCACAAAACGGACCCAGGGACGCGCTTTGGGAGAAGGCAGTGTGGGAGGAGCGGGGATGCGTTGGGGGATCTTGCTGCTCTTGAGGCTCCGTGGAAGCCTTGGGAAGTAGAGGGCGGCGGAGCTTGACATGTCCCTAAAGCTCATCAACCCAATCGGCAGGGTTTGATTGGGTGATTGGGTGAGACCAGGAGAGTGTTAGGACCGGGGCCCTGGGGATGGGATGATGCTGGTCTCTGGCTGTGAGATGCCCTGGTGCTGTAGCCAAACTGGAGGTGTCAGAAGTATTCTCTGTCCTGTTGAGACACTCCTTGCTTTTCCCTCTTGTGTTTTAGAAGGGGGCTTGGCTGCTAGTGAATGCAGGCCTGCAGCATAGACAGCTGAAGTTGAATCATGGACAGCATCTCCCCTCTCCTGCAAACTGAGCTGTGCACAGTTGAGGTGTTGAGTGGCATCACACTGTGAGGGTCAGGAAGCTTAAGTGCCAGTGAGCTTCTAGGCAATATTGTGTGCATGGGAGTTTCTGGGAGCAGCATTGCCAGGCTCCCTGGGCAGGGAGCTCCAGAGGTGTGCCATAGAGTGTTTGAGAGTAACAGAAATCTGTTGTTGTGGGTACTCATTCTTTGAGTACTGAGACCATGCTGTGTGCACTGTATTTACTGTCATCTCTCTGCAGTGCAACGGAGGAGCCGGCTGCAGAACTGCCAAGCAGCCAAGGAAAGGCTGAAATACCCAAGCGCAAAGTAAGTTAGGACGATGTTGGGCTTGGATGAGATGATATGTAAAGGTCTGAGGTATAGCTGGCTCTCCCCACTGCCCAGTGTCTACCTTCTCCAATCTGTGTACAAAGAACCAGCTCGTGCCAGGGCCTCTAGGGCCTGTCTAGGCTCTGCCCCCACAGCACCCTGGCACCAGTCTATAGTTACTTGCAGCAGGCACAAATTCCCAATAGCTGATGGTGTCTCTTCTGCATATTTTATGGGATTCTTTGAAACTTTCTCATCTCAACTCCTGACTCTGGCAGAACAAGCCTTGCTGTTAAAGATTCAGATTTGGAACCAGATCTCAAGGAAAGGATAATGGGAGTCTCACCACTGGTTTTTAATGGCAGCTTCCAGTGGCCTTTGGAATATGTTAATATCAGGAAGGGGCATTTTCTGTGCATCTGGCACAGAGATCAAAGAGCAAACCATTCCCTGTCCCCAGGCTCTGGGAAACAGCACTAATATAATAGGAATGAGAGAAGATTCATGACCTTTCTTTTTGGCATAGTGCAGCACTTAGGCAGAACAGAGGATGGTCCCCTCACTCTCTAGGCTCTTTCTTACAGAAAAAGAAACAAACTTATGGAGGCATTAATCCTCGCAGAGGACTGAGCTGCTACCCTGAAGCAGAGGGATGGGAGAACTCCACAGCTGGGTGCTGTCAGAGGGCTCCAGTTTTGTGCATAGGAGGAAGGGAGGACAGAACTATGGGAGCTGACAGTGGCCTGCTGTCCCACCTTCCTGCTTATCTGCAGTGCCTGGACAGCTGCAGGGCTTGTGGATGAGCCACACTGCAATGAACTCTGGTGAAGACTCTCTGAGGCACCACTATAGTCTGCAGCATGACCTCAGCTGTCTGTGACACACAGGGCAGTTTGGGAGCCTCGAGCCCTGCTACCTGCCAGACCACTGTCTGCAGGAATAATTTTGATTAGTTTTGTTGTCCATGGAAGTTTTGTGACAACCTTGGATGTTAATGGCTTGTGTTGCTTTTCTGTTGCCACACAAAAGAGAAAGAATTAATAGGATGTGGTAGTGCTCCTTGAAAGGTTTTGATTTCTGAAATCAAAACTACTACTAAGCTACTCCTAAGCTCCTGTGTCTGAGACAACCAGCAGTGGGTTAGATATTTAACTCTTTCTGCCTTTCTTATGGCTGATAAATAACCTGATAAATTGTTGGACTTTTACAGACCCTTTTTAAAGGACTGGACTAACCACCTGAATCCACCCTTAGAACCAGTTTCTAAACTCAAGCATGTAAGTAGGAAGGTTTTGAGTCTTTCATGCTTTAAGTGGGCTGTAGCTGTTGGACATGAAATGAGTCACATGGATGCAGCTCAAGGTGTGGTGAAAGGAAGAACACTTCATTTTTTTCTCTCAGTATTTATAAGTTTCTGACCATGGCCAGGGATTGGATAGTCAGGTTAACACCTTCCCAACCACACTGGCCGTGAGAGATGTCCATCAAAAGACGTGTATCAGAAAGAATGTACACATATCTATGTTTACAGTCACTGTCCTGGGAAAGTTTTTAGAAACTATGTCAACAAGATCGAAAAACTGAGATTTCAGGGCGACAGTGAGCCTTGGCAGAACACAGTCCCCTGTCACGAATGAGTGTATTATGGTTGCTTAAAGAATCACTGGCAAAGATATCAGCAAAAGCAGTTTTAATATAAAAGTGAAAGCACAACGAAGTTCATTGTCAAGGTTCACTTGACTACTTACTGGATGGTTAAAGCACATAGAGAAAAAGCAAGCTAAAACAATCAATCTAAAACCGAAACCAGTGCAAAAGTTATCTATGTGGGGGATGGGGGAGTCAGGGAAGAGTAAGGATAAAAAGGAAGAAGGAAGGTCCATTGAGTCACAAGATTCAGAGCAGAGACTGCCTTGCTAATCTGAGCACGAGGCTTGACCAACAGTTTAGGCCTGAAAGTTCTAACAGCACTTAAACTTAACAGCATTTAATGAATAGCTTCAGTTAAATATTTTAACAAAGGATTAATCTAGAATTTACTGTAGCACAAAAATAACTTGCTTACAGGCCTGACTTAAAAATCTAAAGTACTTAAGAACCAAGGAAAGCCACATTCATAGAACATTTGGTCTACCATACTTACACACACATAGACCTAAAGAGTTTGTACAAGATATATCTGTGAAAAGTTCTCCTCAAATTCAGTGAAGGACTCATGTTGATGCCTTTGTATCTTCTCAACAGGAAAAGGGTTGAGCCTTGGGGAAAGGGGTTATCAGCCCTGTCTCTGTTGACATCATTTGCTGTTCCCCCAAGTACAGCAAACATGAAAGTTTTCTAGCTCTGAGAATCCCCACTTGGAGGGAGATGCTGGTCACAGCCCGCACAGTCCAAGAGAGCTCAAAAGGTCTCACTCAGGATTGCTGCTTATAGTGTCACAAGAGAATGTACTTTAGTCATCATAATTTTTCATCCTGGCTTCAATTCAAGTCTGTAACTTGCTTTGAAAACCACAACCCCAAGTCAGGTCATGAGTTCCTGACTCCAAATGGGGGACATACCACAGATTGCTAAATAGCTGACAATGAGTCAACTAGCTATTTTTCAAAGGAGTTTAGCTTAGGAGTTTCAGTTCGGGAGACTGATCCTTTGCCCGCATCCTGGTGGGTATTGTGTTATTGTTCTGTTGACAGCTGCTTTGTCACATGACTGTCCCCTGGGCCAGCTGTCAGGGTCTGACGAAGCTGCGCTCTCCTTGGAGCTGAGGGCTGCTTTGTCTTTCCAGGTTGACAGGAACAAGAAGGATGTTCTTGGGAATGTGATGGAGGGTGCTCAAGAGGATGGCAAGCTTGGAGCCAAATCCACACAGCACACTGGCCACATTGCTCAGAAGAAGCCTTCAAATACATCCCGGAGAGCAGGAGGGGCGTGTCCAGCGCAGCCAGGGAACACTATGACAATTCCTGCTTCTGCACAGACTAGAGGCAGGCTCCCACCTTCAAGCTCTGGTCACCTAAATCCAAAAAGGAACCAGAAGTCTACACAGGAGACTGTCACTGCAGCAGCGCCTCAGGTGGAAAGTGACCACCCTCCTCCTGGAGCACCTCACTCCCTGAATGAGGGGCTGCAGAACAGGCTGGTCTGCCACAAGGAAAACCTCGACCCACAGATCCCAACATCCCCGGAGCTGATCAGAACTTTCCAATCTGATGCAAACAGTATCAGGAAGAAGAGAGTCTTGGCCCACAAGCAAAGCTCAGCTGTAATGTCGAGGCCTGTTCTGGGTCCAAAAGACAGAATTAGTAACCGCCAGGCTAAGGAAGAGCCAGTTCTGGATAAATTCAGGAAAACCCTGTCAGAATCAAAGAGCATATCTCCAAATACAAGTATCAGAACTCAACCACTTCAGCCGTCTCAGTTCCTTCCTGCTTCTGCTGAATTGCTATATAAAAACCCAGGAACAAACCAGGGAAAAACTTCTACAGTGAGGCAACCTGGCACAGCTCCAGGGGGAAGTCTTAAGCACCACAGCCAACCTTCACCAGTGAGAAGATTTCCCACCAAGCCTCCCACCTTGGGCAAGCCCCGGGGAACCACAAACGTGAAATCGAGTCTGAAATCAGGTGTCACTTTGCCATGGCCAAGACCCATGATTAAAGAGGGAATGGACAGGAAGGATATAAAGGTGGTGCCTCCTGGACACACAGCAGCATCCCACGGGACAGATCACCCAAACCAGTCTCACAGCATCCACAATTCCAAAACTCATGTATTTGAGGATGATTTGAGAAGTAGGAAACATCAGCTTAAACCAGAGCTGCCAAAGGCAAGTGGCACACAGGCTAGGTGTATCCCAAGGATCCCATCAGCTGCAGATCGTAAGTAAGTGGCAGCTCGGGCCATCTGGGTCCTGCCTCCAAGAAACAGCAGAGTTTAAAGGGTTTGACTGAGTGAGCCAGCACCGTCATTGGTGAAAACGGAGTCCAAAGTCTTTTATCAGCAAAAGGTTGTTGGGAGGTTGATGCCCTGAAAGAGTTGGGGATGTTGTTGGGTGGCACCCTGGGTTCCTCTCCCACTGATTCAGTAAGTGGAAGGAGAGTGTGTGGTCACTCTCCTGCTTTAGTCTCAAGGTTTATGCTTGAGCGTGTTTTCCTTTCCCAGTCTAGAGCTCAGGTGTGTTTCTGAGCTAGATACACTGATTCTTTTTAAGAAGCTGAAGTTGGATAAAGGGAAATTCCGAGCAAAAACAGCCAGCTTATGTCAAGCTACTGTCTTCTGGAGTGTTAACTGTAATCTCTTGGTCCTTGGACAGGAAACAGCTGGAGGAGTGGTTGGCATCCAAAGGCAAGAAATACAAGCGGCCGCCAATGATGCTGCTTCAGAAGCAGGCAGTGAAGCTGTCCTGCAGAAAGGTCAAAGCAAAAGAGAAGCAAGAGAATCCAGAGCAGCACTGCCTAGCAAAGATCAACTCTATATTCACTGAGTGCCTGAAGCTCATTGAGGAGGTGGGAATGGGAAAGGAGCTGCTTTAATGAGCTTCTCCTCTCTTGGAGCATGCCACAGGATGAGGGCCATGTCACTCCAGTAGCAAACAGGGGTTGGGAACAAGTGTTCAGCTGCCAGAGGGGAAACATAGGAAAATAAAAGTTCTCATAAAATTATGGGTAGACCAAAGGCATGCAGTAAGCTGTGCTGACTGGGAGAATGGAGAGGTACACTGTCAAAAAAGACTGTTGTGGTTTAACCTCAGCTAGCAGTCAAGCCCTGTGCAGCTGCTCATGCAGTCCTCCACCAGCAGGACTGGGGAGAGAATCATAAGGGTAAAAGACAAAGAATTAATAGGTTGAGGTAAAGACAGTTTAATCGGGTAAGCAAAAGCTGTGCACACAAGCAAAGCAAAACATTGACTTCCTGCTTCCCATGGCCAGGCAGGTGTTCTATCACCTCCAGGAGAGCAGGACCCCATCACATGAAGTGGTGGCTTGGGAAGACAAACAGCATCACTCCAAATGTTCCCCCACTTTATATACTGAGTATAGGGTCTGGAATATCTTTTTGGACTGTTTGAGTCACCTCTCCTGGCTGTGTCTCCTCTCAAGCTTCCCACATATCCCCAGCCACCTTGCCAGTGCGGCAGCACAAAAAGTAGAAAAGGCCTTGGTCCTGTGTAAAAATCCTGCTCAACAGTAATGAAAATACCTCTCATCACCACTGTGTTCATCACAAATCCCAAGCACAGCCCCATACCAACCACTGGGAAGGAAATTAATTCTACCCCAGCCAACTTGATGTAGATCCCTGGTGGATGTCACAGTTTGAGGTAGGGCCCTGGTGTGAAACAGTTACTGGGAAGACTTGACCGCTAGCCCTGCTCCAGGGTTTGTTGGCCCCAGTTAATGCCAGCACTAGAGTCTATCCTTTGACACCCTTCTGGAATACTAGACTCAATTATGCAAGGGGAAGATAGAGGCGGGACAGCTTTTATCTGCCATGGTTGTGTAGGAGACTTGCAAACCCAGACTTTGGAGGCCTACCTCCTGAAGAGTGCTGGGAGCTGTGGTCAGGCACGGACTGCTTCCTAGTGCACACACTCCTCCATGCCATGAACCCCTTTCTTCAGCCTCTTACCCTTTCTCCTTGCAGGGTGTCCATGCAGAGGAGCTGTCGGCAGTGCTGTCCCTTGTGCCCAAGGCAGAGAAATTTGCCAAATTCTGGATCTGCCAGGCAAAGCTGCTGGCCCGGAGCGGCCCCTTTGACGTGTTGCAGCTGTACAGAGAAGCAGTCAGTGCTGGGGCTGAGGTGAGTGGGGCGTGCCAGCTTCCTGTGTTCACTGCCTCTGCTCTGGAGGGCTTCCTCGAGATCCAGGGGCCAGGTTTTTGAATGAGTTTAGCAGCATTAGTCACTGGTGAAAAAATCCTTTAGTGCTGCCAGTCCCATTCCATGCTGAGGGACGTGCCCATGCAGAGTGGGCACCTGGCTAGCTGTGCTGGGTGCTGATGGATCCCACTGGGTAAAGGAGAATCCTGCAGCCTCTTCCTGCTGTCCTCAGCACAGGGTGTTGCAGTGCAGCAAAAGCCTTTCCTCCTATTCAGCTGTAACTCTGGTCTCCATTCCTATGCCAGACCTGCCCTGACCCATGTTCTGCTTTTCCTGCAGCCAGTCGAGGAACTCAGGGAAACTGCTCTCAGTATTTTGAAGGATGCAGGCCAAAAATGGGAAGGTAACCTGAGTGTTGTGGGGTTGACTGGAACACGGGCAGGCGGGGGCTCCCTGATGTTGGCCAGCCGGGAAGCAACACTGTTTACAGTGTGTCTCAGCATCTCATCTCCCTCCTGATGAGGTTGTGAAAGTCTGGAATACTGATCTGAAAAATGGGACACACTGTTACTCTGCCTGGGATAGAGGCTCAGCTGGCCTCTGCAGGCAGGCACTCTGCCCCAGTCCAGAGTGCAGAGGTGTAATCCCCCCCAGCAGCTCTTGGCAACAGTGTTGGTCTTTTACTCTCATGCCAGAAGAAAAGGTGGAGGAACCCATTTCTCGGGAGCCTACAACGCCTTGTGCAGGTGAGAGGCAGCCCATAGCATTGACTCCAGGCCTGGTCGGGAGGCCCATGACCTCCCTTCACTTCTCAGTCAAGTTACGGGTTACATCTGCATCCAGGTAAGGCTGAAACTCCTGCTCCTGGTAGCACACACCCTCCATACCAGTGGTCATCTGCAGGGTTTACCCAAGTCTCTTGTCCTCTCCATAGAGGAAAGGAGTTCCTGGAAAGCCCAGAACTGAAGTTTCTGACACCCGTGCGGCGCTCACTACGGATTGAGAGGGCTAGGAGTCACTACCCAGAGATGCTGAAGGACCATGACCCTGTGGTGTCATCCCTCAGTGAAATCCTGGATGCTGAGGAGGAGACTTGTTTCTTCTTCCAGAAAAACATGGCTTTGCCAGAAGTGACAGAGCTGGAGGGTTTGGGTTCCCAACCCCTCAAGAGCTCCTGAGGGGTTCCCAGCAGGGGCAGGCTGCCTGCCCACCATGCTGCCTCATAGACATGACCCTGACTGCTCTTCCTGCCCCTCAGATGTAGGGGGCAGGGGATGACACAGAATAAGCCTGTATCAAATATCTAAATGCTGATTTTAAGTGTATTAAAACTTGCAGTAGAGTTGTGTGTGGGCTAGTGAGTGGTGTGGAGACACCAGCTGTATCTCCTGGGATTGTGTTCCCAGGACTGCCCTCAGCTACTCATCCAGGTGACATACACTCTCGTTTTCCTCCTGTAGAATGGTATCAGTTGGACTGTGATGTTCCAGGCACCTCCCAGTGTTTGAAAGCAATGTCCTGAGTAATTTGCTCTGGAACTGCCTTGTGCCCTACCTGGAGAGCATCTGTATGTCCCCTATTGAGAGGCATATATGCAGACCCAGTGTCTGGAGGTACAGGTGGTAGCAATGGCTGTGACTGAGGAGCTGGGGGACCTGCAGTGCCCCAGCAGCTTCTGCAGAGGCCGTGAGACTGACAGCAGCACCAAGGGCTGCAGAAGACCTTGGGGTGCAGCAGGCCAGGCCCCCAACTCCTGGAGGTTGGGGTCTGGGGGCAGCCGAACATTTTAAGTGCGGTTCAGGCCCCCTCTGCTGCTGTCCCTGCACTTGGAACAGGCAGTGGCACAAGGTACCAAGCAAGAGGCTGGTGAAGGGATTGGCAAGTGCTCTCTGCTGTGAACAGTGACCGTACAGCAGCTGCAGAAGGTGAGGAAGCCCTACTGTCATCCACCCTGCCCCAGCAAGCAGTGGTCCTGGCCCCATCACGCTCTTTTGCCTCCTCTTTCCCTCATGATGCACCCAAACCCAGCCTTGCTTAGCATCTCTGTTGAGTCATGGATGCTGGCAGAAGTCTCAGAGCAGTGTGCTGGAGTTCTGGCAAGGGGCTAGCTCCACTCTGTGGAGCGCTTCAGACCTGGCTCCCTCTGCAGAGGTGGGGATATCTCGAGGCTGTCACCTTCTCCCCAGGGACTTGTGTTTGTTCCAGGTGCTGGACAAGGGTTTGGGGATTGCCCTTTGCCCGCACCTCTCAGGTGCAGGGACAAAACAGTTTTCCATTAAAACAGCCAGTTCTATGTCTCTGCAGTACCAGTTTTGAGTGTCTTTTATAAATAGAAAAGGGTAGAAAAAAGAAGAGGGGAACAGCAGGTGAAGGGAGTTCCACTGGAGCAGCTGTCGCCTCCAGAGCCCCACCCCCTCCACCCAGCATTGCAGCGCTCATGGCCAGGCCCAGAGGCTAAAGGAGCAGGAGCTGCTGGGACTCCAGCTGCTGCAGTGGGGCTTCCAGTGATACTGCAGCAGTGGTACTGCCTGTTCACCCTAGTGTTGGATGGCCCCAGGCTGGCACTGAGCTGGTGGGAGAGGTATAAAGGGCACCAAGCAGATATGAATTAAAGGGGCAGGAGCTAGCAGGCTTGGGAGGGGAGGGGGGTGTGCCTCTCCTGATGCTGGGCACAGTCAGGAGAAGGTCCCAACTGCCCAGGGACAGGTGTGACAGGGGCCATGAGTCAGGGCCACCAGCCATCCTGTGGCCACCAGATGTAGTAGGTGGCCACGAGTAGCTTTGATCTGGCAGTGCAAGTGGTCCAAGGCCACTGAATGCAGCCCTCTTGTGGGTCTGGCACCTGGCATGGCAGCAGTTGGGGTGTGCTCAGGCTTCTCCATCATCTTCCTCCTCCCCACTCGAGTCCTGGGGGACCTGAGACAGTGCAGAAGGGGCTCAGTTGGCACAGTGTGGCAGGATGCCACCTTGTCCTTCTGCCCTTCTGTTCCCTGCCACCCACCTGCTGGCCAGGGTCACCATGCTGGGCCAGCCAGGGAGGAAGGGCAGTGACCGCATCCCCTGAGTCCAGGCGAGAGTGCTCCACCGTTGACTCATGGGCCATCTGTGGGGGGGGTGGACAAGGCTCCCAGAGAGAGGCTGGCACCAGCCAGCCAACGGGTTGGGTGCCCACCCAACACCTCTACCAGCCCCATTAACCCAGCCCCATGCCGTCTATTCCCCCTCAGGCAGAGAGGGAAACTGAGGCACAGTGGGTGGGTGACCAGCAGGGGCTGGGGGCTACATACCAGGACAGGAGGTGCCCGGAAAAGGTAGCTGAAGGGGTAATAGAGAAAGTTGATAAAGGAGGCAGCATAGAGGTCTGCATAGCGCATCAGCTGGTTGGCAAAGAGTGTCTGACGTGAGCCACAGCGGAAAAGGCTGCCCATCTTCCCATAGCACATGTCCATCTCATGTGTCACTTTCTGTGGGTGCAGCAGGACAGTCAGAGCATGGGAACTTCCTTCCCATGGAGGAAGTTGTGGCAGGGGGAGGAGCTGGGCTGTGTGTCAGCTGGGATAGTGCCCTGGGTGTCACCTGGATCCGACGCTTGATGGAGCTGATGTCTGGGCGCTCACTACTGCCACTATCCAAGTGCCTGGAATGGAACAGACCCAGCTAAGGGCTCACCTGAAGGGTTCCCCACAGGTGCTCCCACTCCTGCCTGTCTCCCACCCCAACCAACTCACTGGTACAGCTCAGCCAGGAAGACATCCAGGCTCCGCAGCTCCTCAAACAGCTCTGCAAGGGCAACAGGGCCAGCTCAGTGCAGGAGCATCACCCACTGCCCAGCAAGACTGACAAAGAGGGTCAGGGCATGGCCCACTGAGGCAGTTTTGCCATTGAGGGGTGTAGGAGGCTCCAGGCCACCTCCCTTTGTATGGCAAAGTCTGTGTCCCCAACCCAGCACTGCTCACCACTCTTCTCTGTCCAGACCTGCAGCTCACGGGCCAGCTCAGGAACTACCAGAAAGGTGCGCCAGCCCTGCCGCTTCTTGGATTTGAGGATGTCCCCAAAGATGTGGTCCCCCATGTAGAGGATGTCTTTGCCCTTCACACCCAGGAGGTCACACACCACATCTGAAGAGCCTGTGACAGCAGGGGGTCAAGGAGGGGGGGCGGGGGGCGTGTGTGGTCATGTTCCCCTATGCTGCCCACAGAGCCCAGACAGACCCCAGCTGTGCGCTTACCACCGGAGTAGACAGCACAGTGCTGGAGGGGGCCAGTGTATGTCCCAATGCGCAGCTTCCCTGTGTCCTGCAGGACAAGAGGACCCCAGGAGGGGGACACCGTTATATGTGCCTGCTTGGTCCAACCAGCCATGAATCTACCTTGCTGTGCCCACGGGAGCCTGCTCAGTGCTTACATGGTACCCACCACCCCAACTAGCCCTGCAGCAGGGGAGAGATCCCCACCGTGTCGACTTGGCGCAGGACGGTGCCCTCAGCAAAGAAGAGGGGCTTGCGGGTGTCCACCACAATCAGGTCGAAATAGGACCTCCAGGGGCGCTGTGGGATGTCAGCCTGTGGATGCTGGAGAGGGGATCAACAAGAGGATGCTGATGGCACCCTGCACCTCCTATCCAGCCCATACCGAGGACAGACTCACCTTGTCCTCATTGCTGAAGTCAAACAGGTAGGACATGATAGCCTGCAAAGACATCTGGCATCATCACTGCTGCTCCCAGGCAAGGCTGACCCTGCCTGTGCTTCAACACATCCCCTCTGCTTCCCCAATCCAGGGCAGGCTGGACCTCGTGGTGGGGGACATGACCCCTACTCACATCAGTGTAGGTATAATCACTGTTGGTGGCCAGGAAGACCTTCCCCACCTCCTTCATGCGGCTCAGCAGCAGTGGCACACGGGGCTAGTGAAGGGTAAGTCAGTGGGGGGGAGCATAAGGTGGGCCGCATGGAATTGACTGAGGGCAGCAGAGTAGGGAGGGGTCCATAGGGATCTGCAGAACTCACATCCTTCACCACATATTTCTCCAGGTTCTCTAGAGTCTTCTCCTTGAGGCAGCCCTGCAGAAGGGATGGGGTGGGGCTAGCCAAAATCTCCCAGGATGTGCTTGAGGGAAAACCCCAGCACTCTCAGCACCCACCACCACCAGCCCTGTGCCCATTGCACGTACAGAGAGGTGGACATGGTCCATGGCCTCACGCACATCCTGGAACATGCTGCGGAAGGACATGAAGAGATTCCCATGCTTGTAGCCGGTGTCACAGCTGCAACAGTCAGGAATGGAGGGGGTGAAGGGCCTGCCCGGCTAACGGGAAGCTCCCCACAAGATTTACTGCCTGTCCAATCCAATACCAAGCCCCCATTCACCACCTCCCTCTTACTTGACATATCTGGAGCAGTTGGTGAAAAAGTCCACAAGACAGGCATAGAGGTGGGCCTCTGTGGGGGAGTAGGTTGTGAGAGGGGGTGCAGGGCAGGACAGTACCCCAAGGTGGTGGGAGGGCCAGGACAATGGGGGTTCTCACTCACCTGTGAGGTTGAAGAGGGTGTTGAGGATGTGGAAGCGCTTCATGTCATCCCGCTGGATGAACTTGTTGGGGTAATAGTGGAGGATTTCGGCTCTGGAGAGGAAGCATGGAGCTGCACTCCACCCTGAGGGACCCCCCCTCCGACTTTGCCCTGCCCCAGGGGTGGTGAATTCCCAGACTCACCCCTTGAGGAAACGGAAGCCATGGGCACAGACCAGCAGGTTCCCGTGGGAATCCACCTTCAGCAGGTTCCCATACAGGGCATCAAACACCAGCCCCCTGCACCACACAGCTATCAGTGGGTGGGGGGGCTCATTTCCCCTCCTCTCCCATCTCTGGGCCTCCCTCCACAAACTGACCGGGTGGGGAAGGTGGGGTCATATTTGTAGGCAAGGATCTCAGGAGGGTACCCAATGGCGACAAGGTGCTCCAGCAATAAGGCAAAGGCCAGCTCCTCGTAGTCAGGGGACTTGTACACTGCAGGGGGGGAAAGAGGGATGTGGGCTGGGGCTGGGGGGAATCCCACCACTACCCCCCCTGCCTTATGGTCCCCCAAAACGCACTGGCCAAGGTGTAGTCCATGTCAAAGCCAAAGCACTTGATCTTCTCCAGCGCCAGGCTCCGGTTGACGAAGATCCTGAAGGTTACCATGGAGGAAGTTATGGGGTGAGGAGAGGTTTAAGGCTGGGAGTGGCAGACAGAAAGAGATGGGGTCGCGTTTCCCTATCCCAGTCCCTGGTCGGTGCTCCGGGAGGGTTGTGTGTTCATCCCAGCATAGGGCCCCCACAGCAAGTTATTGGAGCAGAAAAATGGGTTGTGGAGCTGGAAGTGGAGCTGGAGGAGGGAGGCGGGACTGTGGGAAGGTGGGGGATAGTGAGCCCCTGTTTGGACCTGCCCCCACCCCGGCATGTCTACATGACACCCAGAGTCTCTGTCTCCTCCCGATACGACAAGGGTCCTATCCCGTACCTGAACCCCGGGGCCTTCGGGTCCTGCTCCCTTCCCCGTGTGTCCTCCCCAAATGTCCTTCCCCAAGCCATCGCCCCGTATCCCCAAGTCCTGCTGCCCCCACTGCCCTCCAGTCCCTCCGCAGCTCCCAGCCCACCGGTGCTGGCAGTCCCTCCGCAGGGCCCGCTGGTCGCCCTGCCCCAGGCCCCGGGCCGCCGGGTCCCTCCGCCCCCGCCCCGTCCCTGCCGCCTCGAGCCGCCCGCTCTCCCAGAGGAGGTTCCCCAGCCCCGGGGGGCTGGCCGTGAGCCCGCACCAACATGGAGATGCTCTTCCAGGCGCTATAAAGAGCTCCGGCTCCCGCACCTGCCGCTCGGTCTCCACCGCGCCCACTCCCGGTCCGCACCCAGCGCCGGGGCCGCCGTCCGTCCCCTT